AAGATCCCATTGGGCTAATTAATCGTGCTAAGCGACAGGTATAGACATTTTTCAAGGTGAGACTTTAAATAAGTAATTCATTTATTCACACGAAACTCCTCTGGACCCTGTGTAAACTTTGTACCGACACAACTTTCTTTAGAGCTTCATGATACTGCCTTCCAAGTTAATTAAAAACTTTCGAAAATAATCGTCTACTTCAGGCTTGCAACGACGACAGCGACGGCAACGAGAACGGCAAAATAGCAAACGGTTTAGACAGTAAAACAAGACTGACTTTGCGCGTGCATCACGCTTTTTTTGTACACTTCTTTGCCGTCACTGCACTACTTCGACGTGAAAATGCCTAATTTCACAACGACTTCCTCTTTTTCACGCTTTTCCTGTACTACATTACTTTAGAAATGAACTCCAGAAAAATTTCACATCGACTTCCTCTTTCTCACGCTTTTCCTGTACTACAGTACTTTAGAAATGAACTTCAGAAAAATTTGCCAACATTTGACGAATTAAAAGAGATAAAATAAGCTCGATAAATTTTGAAGCAGCGTGAATTCACTTTTTAAATGCCGTTTTTGTAGCCATTGCCGTCTTTGCTGCTCCCTTATGACAAGCGTACCTGTAAGAGAGTTCTACTGTTCTTTTTTTTTTCTTGGTAGATGTGCTATACTTGACGTTTAAGTTGTCCAGCAAAGGAAGTGTTCAACGCGGTCAAAGTTGTTTGCTTGAATAGTTTTCCTTTCTGTTCAGCACCCAACTGCCAAATAAAGATTCAGAGCCGGTCCAGAGATATAAGGAACAACGAAGCTAATTTGAGAATTGAACTCACATCAACTTAATAAGCTGATGTACGGCGCGATAACTTATTCTCAATCTCAGATGCTGTGAAATTTAACGCTCGTATGAAATTCAAACTATATTAATTCTTAAGTTGTTTAAACAACGCGAAAACTTTTTGTGAAACAGATGCCTTTAATTAACTCGCCTAACAGAAACAATTTTTTGTGAAGTGATAAGCCACTTAAGGCAAACTTTGAACTTCTCGGAAAGACCGTGAAGGATTTGCAGGTTAGCCTGTCTTTTACTCTTCATTTACTAAAGTGGAGATATGTAGTATTCTAATGCATTTAATACTTAATAACGCGAAGGAAGAAGACAAGTACAAAGATAAGAGAATTAAGGATAAGTTTTCAATTCTATACTTTACATCCAATATAATGTGTTATGCACTCAAGCCTGTTTTAATCTGATACCAGTTAGTGTCCCAGGGTCGACGTTATATGTTCAGCACCCAAAGAGTCCAAATTAATGTATACTTAGTTCGCTAGTTAAGTAGGAGCAAGAGCCATAATGGGACAGAGACGGAAACGTGCAGTCTAGCCCTTGACATATGTGAATTTCACCAAAGTTATTTTTAGACCAATTAAACGCTCGAATTAATCGTCTGTTTCTTTTCATAATTAAGCGGACTTCTTCTCGGACAAATCACCGCTTATCCTACCCATTATGGCTCTTGGTAGGAGTGTGCTCGGGGAATATTTTTTTCTGGCAATCTTCACTCAAAGAAACTCTTGGGGGTTGCAGTAAAGAGGAGAGTGGAACCTGGGCCCAATTGATGTCCCTCCAAGATCCTCCAAGATGTCCTCCCTTCTAAGCTTGATTATCAGCGACTGGTCGAAAAATAAGCCCTTGTTCCTCTTCCTTTCTGTTCGGGGACGAAAAAAGACCGTACCCACCTTTGATTGCGAAAGTAATGGGTGAGGAGCCGAACAAATGGTGTCCTACGCACCTAACTATAAGATGTTGAGCCGATGTTTTGATAGTGATTGATAAAAAAAATCAAGAACTTAGCAGATGCACTCACTGCTTGATCGGTGGGTAATGTTCTAGCCGTACGACCAAGTTTTGCTTCACTGAAATCAAACCGAACTGAGCAAATACATAGGGTTATGATCAACGAAAAAGATTCCATCCATTCGTCTTTAATGGGTAGGAATGAGATGGAGTAGGTCAAATTCAATTTTACTACAATAACTCTGAATAGGCCATTTTACGGTTATGCCTTCATTGTCCTGCCCTCGGAAGCGAGGCCAGAGGTCACCTTTGCCTATTTTTCGCATGTTAGTCATGTAAATGATCATGCTCACGGCCTGATCGCATGAGGATAACACGATTTGACTTTAAAAAGAGGAAGGTCCAGCCTCGCTTCTATTCAAAGACCAGGACAACTGAACACAAAACTGTAAAATAGCCTGTATATGTAGCTTGTGAATCTTCTGTGCATGCGCTGTTTATTCGCTTGGAATGGGTCATTACGCTCAACTGCAAATTTAACAAAAGACAACAAATATCCATAAATTCAATAAGAACACCCGAAACATAAGAACTACTCAGATTCTTCAGTGGCTGAGTTCTGCGTTGTAATAGACAATATATTGGTGGTGAATTAAAATCTGAAAAATTGATTGTGGTATTTACCGGGCCTTTGATGAAGCTGAATAAAACTAAAACAATTAATTGGAATAGATATATCAGAAATCTTGCCTAACTCTTAATCCTCCGTATTTCGTGGGGAGGAAAGTTTTCAGAGCAGAAAATGGCTCTAAACGCATTTGAATTTACAAAGCAAGCTTAGAATCAACGGATCCACAAGTTTAATGAGTATGACTTGGTTGGAGGTGTCCTTGTATCAGCGTCATTTCCAAAGTCATATTCAGTTTCAGTGTAGCCAACTTCAACAAAAGAAGCATCCCCTGTTTCTGTTATTCCGATCCCGTGATCAGCACGATCACAGCCACTTCCTCCTCCACCAATCATCATCACTGATCCATCACCACCATCCCAGTCACACCAGAAACCGATCTTGTTGCTGCTTTGGATGTTGCTGCTGCACTCAGCCTGACCAAACCCGTGTGTTGTCTTGTACTGACCGCCATACTGAACCGTGCAGCTTCCTAGGCCCCTTTTACTGGACCAAACCTTGCCATTTCTAAAGTCGCCATAACTTGTTACTTTTGATCGAAATGTTTGTCCACCCAAACAGTTCCCTGTGGTCTGCAGTAGAGGCGTGTGACTGGAGTCATCACTGCGCGTGACCTTAAACTCTCTGCCGCTGACCAACCAGAAAGCTGGTGAGATCATATCCGTATTGACTGACGGATCAGTTGTTGTTCCCATGGAAGCATTTTGGTCATACCACCAGTGTCCATCGTCTCGCATCCAGTTCTTGGTGTCGCGATTTGAAAATCTGGCGATAAGAGTCCAGTGTGAACCTTGGGTTTTGACGTCACAGTACACCTGTGTAAAATGGCAACCTCGAATTAGATGAGATGAAATAGATGAATTTTTCAATTAATGATGTTATTAAGTTAATGTCGTTATTCTAAAAGAATAACAACAAGAACCAATTCTTGTTTTTTAGATTGCTTGCAGTCAGCCTTTTATCTTAAAATCTGTCCAGTTCTTATCCCGACCGGCACAAATGTAAACAACGACGTTTGACGAGAAAAGACTAGACTGCGAGAAGTCCCTTTTTTTACAAAGTTACATGTACTCCACGCGTCACCCATGGAAGCAAACGGCGAACCCGCGAGTCGTGATGAACGAAACTGCTCGCAGTTGACATCATTTTTTTTCAAGGCTTACCAACACTTAGTGTTAGTTAGCCTTGAAAAGGGTAAAATGGGCGTCCGGAATCGTGGAAAAAATTCAAGTTTTGTATTTTTAACCTTACCTGAAATTTGTTTGAGTTTACTTTTAAGTCATATGTTCCACCTGTTGGGGAATGTTTGGACACGGCAGCTTTGCAGGAATCTTAAAATTAAGGCAAACAACACAAATTAAACTATAAACGGCAGAAAAAAAATTGAACTTTATGATTAATCTCTCCTTTCTAAGTCTCTATAAACTATAATCTACTCATTGTTTTAGTTGATAAAAGAAAAGAGGTCGCAAAACCGAATTGTCCGGTAAAAGAGGCTTGACATTTTTTAGACTGTATATGAATGAACTTTTTGTGGGGAGGCGTGATGCCCTCGAAGTTCGGATCTGGATGTCCGGGTATTGGCCTTGTCATTGTCTTGTTTTCTTAGCAAGAAACCTTGCTCCACTTTATCGCTCCCTTCACTCAGGCGCCCAGGTGGACAAATGGGTACGGGCGATATCATTGCCAAAGGTAATCAACTACCATAGCCATGAGCGGGTGGGGGCGGGGGTGTAGCAACACTCCCAGTCATTCCGTGCTAAGGAAACCTGAAGTCAGCTGCTGCCTAATGGAATACTTAATTCGTATGCAGACTTTGCGATTCCTTTATAAACTTAGCAACTAAGCTGCAGTGTTTCAAGGAGCAACGCCCTTCAGAGAAAACTAATACCGTCGCAATCTCGCTCAAAAAACGACATCCCCATAATGAAGTACTAGCCCACCCGTTCAGTGGATTAAAATTTTACAAATCCAGTGTTATAATGAATACCAGGCGTCCTTTGGATATTTAAAGCCATCACAGCCGTAACTGAACCAAGTTTGTTTTTAGCCGTACAAACGTATGTTCCAGTGTCTACAGCAGAGAAGTCTTGAATTGTCAATGTTCCGTTGGTAACACTGCTCCGTCCCCTTGGTAAAGCAACCAAAGGTCGTGTCCAGGTGATCACAGAGGGTGGATAACTAAAGGCTTCACAAGTTACTGATGCTACCGCTTCTTCTTCTATAACAAGAAATCGTCCTGGGACTCTGGTGAATCGCGGGCTAACTGTGAAGTAGAAAGAAGTGAGTGACTTTATCAGTCGAATCTCAAAGACAATTCAATTTAATTCCTTTTGATTTACACTGGTTCACTTTGCGATTGTCACTTCCTCACATATTTCCTTTTTTTCGATTCACTATGTCTGTCTTAATGTTTTCCCTCGCTATAATAATTGTCAAGTGGCGTATATAGCATTTTTTCTTTTTTGAATTGTTGTTACTGTTTTCATCATTAATAGTATTAGTATGACAGATCAAAAGGAGTGATATAGAATATAGATACTGATGAAATACCAGGATTTTTCCTTTTACTAAAAAATCATATCTTCATCGCGCACAGTGAAGATACTATTTTTATCCTTCATGTGTGAGGATATTGGTGTCGCCATGATTACTAATATGATTAGCCAATTACAAGAATTACAAGAGTTTCAAAAAGTTGTGTTTTATGTAGGAATTTCATCAGTATCTATAAAATAAACAGAATATTACATGGCCGCTTGGGGATACGAATTTTATCTTCTCGTGCTGAAAGTATCTCTCACTCGCGGCCATGTAATATCTTAAGATAATTATTATTGTTTGAAGACTTGATCCCGTAGTGATCGAATTGAACAACCGGCTCTTGATAAACCGTTTCTCTTGGTCAGTGTTCTCATTATTTTTTAGAAACTCTGCATTTTGATTTCCACCTTCACTGCAATCAAAACTGGAGATTATGTCACTTGATTTAGTTATTAAACAATTGATATCAGCAATGAATTCAAGAAACTAGCCAAGTTTCGCCGTGACTTGAGTTGAGTTCAAATGGAAAATAAAGAGTACCGGGTTCACATTTTTAAATAAACTAATTACCTTCAACAATAAGCTCAACAATTTTCTCATCTTGCCCCAGCATATTAACTGCAATGCATTTATACTCCCCAGAGTCATTGAATGTCGAGTGTATTATATCAAGCCTCCCGCCATGACCCAATTTCGCAATATTATTTCTCAGTGAGCCTTTCACTTTTGTCCAGGTCACCGTAGGCTTTGGATTGCCACTGGCCGAGCAGTAAAACGTAGCAGAATGGTTCTCTCTCACTGTTTGTGTGTTAGGAGATACAACCGCTACTGGAAGAGAAATAGATTCTCCAGGATCACCCTTCAGTCCCATCATTCCCCTGGGCCCCACAGCACCTGTTGAGGTTATTGTAACATTATTCAACTTCAAGTGCTTCGCTACTGGACGATATGATTCTTTATTATATCCGTAGGCGGACAATATGAAACGAATCTTGTTATCTGATTGGCTACCCGAGCAGGCAAGACGGGCGCGGGCAAGATGGGCGTGGGCAAGATGGGCCTATCTTTCCCGTTCGGGATTTCCCGCAATGGTCCCGCAAGAAAAATTCTCTTTTTGGCCATATAATAAAACCGCTATTGACCAAGCTTGTTTGTTTCTGTTGGCTGCATATTGGTCTTGTTCTTTTTTGCGTTTTTATTGAACTCGAGTTCGTCTCGGCCACAACAACGCAAAGATGAACTTGGCCAATATCCAGCCATCTTGACCTCACGCTTGGTCAATAACGCGTATATATCAAAAGTGAATTCTTACATGAATAAGGAATTTAAGGCAGCATGTAAAGGCAATTAAAGAACAAACAATTGTATTTGAATACTTGCAACTTTGGAGAAAGGACCCTTTCCTGAGACCCTGTGACATTTTAAGCACGGAAGACCTTAACAACCTTATAACACATACTGTGACTTCAATTATAAAATCTCCGTAAATTTCCAAAATCAAACCGTTATCACGCCTATAGTAAATTTGTTGATGTAAAGTACACTCTAGCTGGCGCTCATAGAGAAGCCTGGTAATTATCAGTCTCTAGACTTTGTTTTATAAGTTAGAAAAAGTGTTTAGCAAATGAATTTAAGCAAGGAGAAAATTCAAATACGTTAAACCTCGCCAGATTAGAAAGGCTTTCAAATACGAGGAGGCCTGTTTTGTTTTTTAATTGCAGACAGCGCTAACCGTGCACAAGTTAAATCACATTTTTTCCAATGGTTGTATCGGAAACTGGTTAATTTTTAAATTCTTCTCTTTGAACACTTTACCTTTCTGCCCTTTCTCTCCTTTTATTCCTGGACTTCCCATAATTCCTTGTTTACCATGTCTGCCAGAAGGACCCATAATGCCTTGCGCACCTTTCTAACCCTTGTCACCAGGCCTTCCTCGTCTTCCTCTGGAACCTCTACTTCCTTTTTCACGAGGAGGACCTGAGACGCAGACTTTTTTTGAAGGCTGACACCAGGATTTTGGTTTCAGTTGGCTTATTCTTATATTGATTTCACGGCGTACTTCCTCTATTGACAGCGAGCTGTTGCTTGCTGAGTTCATGCTGCGACGAATCCTTCTACTGGCCAGTATTTTCTTGGAGTCTAACAGGAGTTGCAATAGAAACAAAAGAAAGTCGGTGGAATAACAGGTTCGGACTCCATAGCATTGTGTTAGCTGAAAATTTTACATTTCTTGGCCAAGGCGATCTAATTCAATGCTTAACGACCTTGCAGTCTTTCATTAGCCTGCCTGTATGTCAGCAAGCTCTCCATCTGGGGGAGTCGCGAGAAGTCACGCGACAGCCGCGCACGCGATAAGGGACACGAGTGCCCCTCGCAGTTTCGCCGCTCGCTTCTTCGCCTGCTTGCCCGCTCGCCCGCTCGCCATGATTGAAGAGCTTGCTCGCAGGCTTGCGTTTCATTTAAAAATATCAACAAAAAGGGAAAGACAATTTAAAAGTAACGGACGGCAAAGCGCCTCATTTAGTACGAAATATGAAAGGAATTAATTTCACACAGGTATGTCCAGATCCAATGATTTCCCCCGTATCCAATTACTGTACCGCTAGAACAATGTTTCCTAGCTAAAAAGGTCTTGAGATTTATTTTTAAAGTAGCCTAGTATCAAATGACGTTACATAAGTCTGTTTTCTACTTCCTGTTGTTGTGGC